TCCAGACGGGAGTCTCTGACCTCAGACCCTCCCGGCCCCCTCCGCCTCCTCTTCGCAGCAGGGAGGGAGTCTGCGGGTTCTGAGTTCTGGAGAGAGGAAGAGAGACCGCAGGAACGCGGACTCCTGCAAGGGACCAGGAGCCTTGTTTCTGAAGTGTGTCAGGAGAGAACGCGCATACACAGGCGTGGTGACACATTTTGTTCCTTTTTAGGCAAGAGTGACTCAGATTGTTGAGGGACAGCAAACACGGCTAGATCCTGAGCCCTGCTAATCTTGCACCCATCCCAGAATATTCCCACAAAGTCTAGTCTGTCGATGTATGAAGTCAGAGGTTACAGGGAAGAAGCCCAGAGGCAAGGGAAAGCCTGGGTTTGGGAGCTGAGGGCTCACCTGTCACGTGAAGACAGCCATTCACTCCCCTCTCCAGGATAAAGGAGACCGTCAATTCTTCCCCATCCTGGAGTTTCCACTGGGCCCTGGCTCTGGCCAGTTCTCCTGCACCCTCTCTAGCATACCCTGGGCAAAGAAGGGCATACTTTTTTTTTGAGTCGGAGTCTCATTGTGTCACCCAGGCTGGAGTGCAGTGTCACGCTCCCGGCCACTGCAGCCTCGACCTGCTGGGCTAAGGCAATCCTTCCACCTCAGCCTGCTAAGTAGCTGGAACTACAGGCACACACCACCACGTCCAGCTAATTTTTTTTTTTAATGGTAGAGAAGTGATCTCGCCAAGTTGCCCAGGCTGGTCTCAAACCCGCGGGCTCAGGCAATCCTCTGGCCTCTGCCTCCCAAAGTGCTGGGATTATAGGCGTGAGCCACCGCACCCAGCAGTAGATCATACTTCTGACCAGAGTTGGGGAATGTCTTGGATGCACAAAGCAGCCCAAGATTCCCAGGGCTTCGTAGACAGTCCTTTGGAAACAGTGAAGGCAGCCATCTAGCATCCTGAGCCCTGTTTTCTGGTTGGGTCCTTTCTGGTTTCCTTCCTCCACAAGGCAATGCAAAATAATACATGATCACTCCCAGTGAGGGGCTGGGGCATCAACGTAGGAGCCACTCATTCCTATTCCTTTGCACCTAGCACAATGCCTGGTTTATAGCAGCCGCTCTGGTGGAAGTTTGTTTGCTCTGTGAATGCATGAATGAATCACAGATATTGTCACAGAATATTGGAATCTTGGGGTCAGAAAGTCACTTGGAAGGACACCAAGCCCCACAAAACATGTCTGGGAGTTGTTACCTGAATAAGAGCCTGCTCTACCTGGTCCAGAGGAACATGACAACCCAATCCCTTGCATGCCGCAACACACACACACACACACACACACACACTCACACCACGGAGGCTCTGCTACCTCTGGCAAAGCCTTCAGGTCTCTTCAAAGCAACAGGTGCCCCATTCAGGAGCACAGGACAAAAGC